ACCTATTTTCTTGCCCATGCTGTATGGTTTTAATTACTGCAGCTTTGTAATATATTTTGAAATCAGCAAGTGTGATGCCCCCAGCTTTGTTCTTCTCGTTTAAAATTGGTTTGAATAATCTGGGTCTTTTGTAGTTCCATATACATTTTAGGATTTTTTCCCTATTTCTGTAAAAATAATGTCATTGGAATTTTGATAGGGAATGTACTAAATTTGCACAATGCTTTGAGTAGGATGGATGTTTTAACAACATTCATTCTTTTAATCCATAAACATGAAATATCTTTCCATTTATTTGGGTCTACTTTAATTTCTTTATCATTATTTTTTAGTGTTTAAGTCTTTTACTTCTTGGTTAAGTTTATTTCTAAGTATTGTATTCTTCTTGATGCTAATTGCAAATGGAAGTGTTTTCTTAATATTACTTTCAAATAGTTTGTTGTTAGTGTATAGAAATACAATTAAGTTTTGTATTTTTATTTTGTCTATAAATTACTGAATTAATTCATTAATTCTAATAATTTTTGGGGAGTCTTTTAGGTTTTCTGCATATAATATCATGCCATCTGCAAAGATGATAATTTTATTTTCATAGAGATATTTTCAGAGATAATTTTATTTTTCTTTTCTGATTTGGATGACCTTTATTTCTTTTCTTGCCCAATTACTCTAGCTAGGACTTCCAGTACCATATTAAATAGAAATGATGAAAGTCAGCATCTTTGATTTGTTCCAGATCCCAGAGAGAAAGTTTTTCAGCATTGGGTAATATGGGTTTGCCTTCACTGTGTTGAGGTTGAAGTAAGTTTTTTCTAAACATGTTTTAGTCAGAATTCTCCAGAGAAACAGAACCAAAAGCATACATAGAGACATGTAAGAGGAGATTTACCATGGGAATTTTCTCATGAGATTATGGAGACCAAGAAGTCCCATGAAATCACAACTATTTGATAGAGAACAAAGAAAGCTGGAGGTGTAATTCTGTCTAAGACCAAAGGCCTGAGCATGATGGGAGGGAAATGGGAGGAGGGAAAGAGAGGCTGGTATTAGTTCCAGAGACTGAAAGCCAAGAAACAGGAACTCTGATATCTCAGGGCAGGAAAATGTGGCTGTCCCAGCTCAGGAAAAGAAAGAGAAAATTTGTCCTTTTTCATCCTTTTTCTTATATCTTGGTCCTCAATGGATTGGATGATGCTCATTGGTTAGGGCAGATATTCTTTAGTCTGCTGATTCAAATGTTAATATCTTCTGGAATATCCTCACAGACAAACCCACAAATAATATTTTTACCAGCTATCTGGGCATCCTTTAATTGAGTGAAGTTGACATATACATTTATCCATCAAAACACCTAATTTATTGAGATCTCACATTATCATTTTAAAGATGTTAAAATTCAACTTCAGAAAAAGATTCAGATTTAAATCCTGATTTTCTTGATTTGAAAACCCATTTTATCAGTCTACCCAATACTACCAACAAGAATGATAATATCAGGAACAATAATAAAACACAAAAGCAATCACAGCTATAACTTAAAAAGCTTCGGACACTTACTGAATTCTTACCATATACAAATTATTAGTGCTAAAAATATATGATGCAATTTAATTCTCATCTCTAACCTATAAACTTGTTATTCCTATTTGGCAGAGGCTCAGAGAACACAGATACAATGTCCAAGGAGCACAGTGCCTTTTGGTGAGTGAAGAACTCTAGCCCCAAATATCTATGTTTCAGAATCATTTACATACATTATATTTATAGTATGTAAATAATGTCTATAGCTATATGTATACCTAGTTAAGTATCAATTAACAGTTGAACTGAAACATTTTACAGATAATGGACTAACTAAATTTTATTACCATAACAAAAAGCAGGTGTGGACATCAGTCTGCTGAGTTTCATTACATCTCTCCAACAATCCTATGGTTACACCAACAGCATAGCCCTTTGAAAGTAATAGCTGCAGCACATCTATATCAAGTCCATTTGAGATGAGGTTATATGAATCCCCCGTCTTTTAAAATAATACTTTCTCTCTTGGCATGCTGTCAGTACATATACGAATGCGGCTGAATGGATGTGAGGAGGAAGTAGGAATGTGAATGTTATAGCTGAATTTATGCTAGATTTACTGTACTAAGCACTTTACATTTATTACAGTCTTATTTCTTGGATACTATATCTATGAGTTTGGAATTAGTATCTTCATTTTAAAGATGAGAAGCCCAATTTGTGGTCAGGTTAATGAACTTCACCAAGATCAGTCAGCTATTGATTGCTAGAAATTATTTTTTTTAAATCTCAGAAATATATAAATCTAATATTTTTCTCTTAACTACTAAGTTAGGTTATTCAGCTTTCTTCCTTTCTTCCTCTGTCTGATGTATGGAGGTCATGTTGTTTATGTGAATGCATATGAACACTATAGGTCTGAAACACAAATAAAAGTTGGGCAGGTAGAAGAGATGGTTTATAATATTCATATCCCTTTTCCCATGATGAATTTTATTTATACCTTAGATAAGATAAAGTCACAAGGACAGTTCCCTGGTGTTGATTTTACCATTAGAATCAAAACTGCACATTTTAGGATTATTAACAACATTCTATTTTTATTTCTATACCAATGTTTGTTAAGATGTGACTGTAATTTTGATGCTAGGATAAATGATATTTCTCTTAAAAAGAAAATAGATCCAACATGGTGGTTGGTATATGAAATTGGATATGATCTTTTCACTGAAACTATATTGTCCTCTTTCTAATTATAAACTGTCTCTTGATGTCAGGTTTCTGTGGGGAAAAAATAAAGATGATGCTAACAGTAACTGAGGGATGAAATCTACTGGGAATATTATTGAATAGTTTGAGCACTGTGGCCAACAAAAGCTCTCAGTTCAGGGGAGATTTGAGTTTTGTATGCAAAAGGAAACTTTCCATATCACCCTCTATAAAATAATCTTACTTTGTCCCATGTTTGAAAGAAACATTAGGTATAGTTATTACGTATGTATTTGTTTTATCTTTCCTGCTCAAAAGTGTTTTACAAAAACAATTATTTCTTTCTCTGTGTGTGCATACAGCTAGAGCAATTGTTAAAATGTAATTTTTACAAAAACTTCAACTGTTCCCTCCACATGGTTTATTTATCTGTCACAAATCCTGATACGCTGAGATGGAGGGAGGAAGGATGGATGAATCACATAATGGGATTTATTCTTTTAACCAAATGACTCTGGGCTTTAGTAAAATATTCCTATTGATTTTACTTTTGGTTGTTTTGGTGTCCTGATGATATGTTTTGGGGTTTTTTTTGTTTTGTTTTTGTTTTTTCTGGTTTGTTTGTCATTTTACTTCCCATTAGCCATCTTTCTTCACCATTAAAATTAAGATAGCTTTCACTTCCGTACGCCCTAATAAGCTTTAGGCTTGTAAATCAGAAAAACAAACCTATCCTTTTAACTCATTGAAGGGATATTTATTGTATAATTACTATGTGTCAATATTCAGAAGTTATAACGTTGAGCTAAAATCTACTGAAGTAGTCTCTATTCCTATAGAATAAGTCAGGCCTGGGAGGCAATTATTTAAAAAGAGGTACCAAAAGGAATGATAGCTACGATAATCAAAAAAGATAATGATGTTATGAATATATATGTTAGGGGAAATTGACCTAGCTATGGAATTGTGTCTGAATAAACAGGTATTGTTATCCTTACTGCTATTATTATTAAAATGAGGATTTATACACTTGGCCATACATAATAATTATAATTTTGAAGGCCTATGTTCTAATAGCTGGTCCAGGAAAGTGAGGAGCAAAGAACAGATTACCTCCTTTATGCCATCATGTTTCTGCCCACCGATCAGCACAATGATAGTGGTTCTGCTTCTTTTCCCTCCTCCATGTATATTCCCAGCCTTTGTACCATTTCTTGTTGGCAAACTCATATTCCACAATCTAAATATTCTATTTGGCTGGTGAGAACTAGTTTGCTTTTTTATTGTTCTGTATGTGAGTATTGGCCTTATATGTAACTGCCAGGTAAAAGAAAGGAAGACACACTCAAGCCCATTTTTCTCCTCTCTACTTTCTCTTGCTTACTCAGTGAAAAAGAGTGTCCAGCCATTAAGAGTGCAGGTTCTAGAGACAGTGTGGTCCAATGGCAGGTTTGGCTACACTACATAGAATTTGTGTTAACTTGAGCACTTAACTTTTCTGTACATGAGTTTCCCTATCTACAAAGATGGAAAACAATCGTAACCTCCTCATTGAAGTAGTTAAAATTGTTGGGTTAAAATGAAAAGGCTCCTGACACATAGTCACTGTTCTATATATATCAGCTATCATCATTTATTGAATTTTAACATGCTAGGTGAATCACAGTAGCTTTTATTTTGCATCCTATAGGCTTATCCAGTCTAATTGTTCATTTTACATTCTTGTTCTTTAGCTTCATGCCTAGATTTAGCACAGGTTTTCAATACTAGATATATCATCTTATTGACTCTTTTTAATTGACAAGCAATAATTGTATATATTTCTGGTGTACAGTGATGTTTCAATACATATAGTGATCAGATAAAGGTAATTAGCATTTCCATTATCTCAGACATTTATCATTTCTTTGTGTTGAGAATAGTCAATAACCTCTTTCTGGCTATTTGAAACTATGTTTTAGAACCACGCACATCGCCCAGAAACTCAGTCTTTATGACAGACCTTTTTACTTTTGTTAGTATTCCTTCATTTTATAAGTCAGTACATGTGCTATTGTGGTCAAGGAACTTATTGCATGCATTACAGAATGAATTCTTGAGTAGCTTGAACAGTAAATACATGGAGTAGTCTCCAGGGACCAGAAATCAACCCAATGTAGAGTGGTACTCTCCTTCCATAAATGACATGCCTTCATACAACACAGATGCAAAATGATTTAGAACCACAGGCAAAATTCACTCTTTTGGTACACAGGCTGCAAAGAAAAGATTTTGTTGGGAAGCATATTTACCTGGGAGATTTGAGCACATGCTTTTGTTTCAAGTTTTCTCATTTTGCAATCTGTATTGTTTGTGCTGACAATTCCTTCTGCGAGGGGCTATAAGCAACTTCCAGCTGCAAGAGAGAAGAGAAAACAAACAGCTTGCAAGCAAATACACAAAGAAATGTAGGCTGCTTCTAAAGCAACATATGCATGCTTGTGACTCTTGATATCTTAATGTCTCGATACGGAAGTCTTTAAAAATATTATAAAAATATAGGTTTTTTATGGAAGCCTATTTTTTTTGTCTATTATAAAATCTCAGGGATGGAGTGGACCTGATAATAGTGTGAAGTCTAAAATCTTTTTAGATACTTGTAACTTTCTATATACCACATGTACCAATGACTTGAGAGAAGCAAGGACCTTGAGAATATGGACTTTGCGATGGGCTAAACATCCCACATAAGAATAAAGGGCCACATCCTTGCAATAGTGAATTGTGCTGCCATAAACATTCAGGCAAAGTGCCCATCAATCCATGAGTGGATTAATAAAATGTGAGAGATATATACATATATATATGTATATATATATACACGCACACACATGCATACCATGGAGTACTACTCAGTCATAAAAAAAAAACAAAAACGATGAACCAATACCTTTTGTAACAACCTGGATGGAACTGAAAACCATTCTTCTAAGTGAAGTATCACAAGAATGGAAAAACACACACCACATGTACTCACTATTAACTTGGAACTAATTGATCAACACTTATGTGCACATATAAAAATAAAACTCAACAGAAATCAAGCAGGTAGGAGAGGATGGGTAAAATCACACCTAATGGGTATAGTGCACAGTATCTGGTGATGGGCACACTTATAAATTTGTACAAAAGCAATTCATGTAACCAAAACATTTGTACCCCCATTATATTCTGAAATAAAAGATTCTTTTAAAGATTAAAAAATAAATAAATAAAACTATATTATAAGCAGTACATTTTGCCTGATTCTCTCATCTATTCAGTATCCAATGAAGATGCTAAAGACAGCCTTATCTTTGATAAACTTATAGTGTATCAAAGGTAATGGTTGAACAATTAGAAGATGCTTCATAAGACAGTAACAGAATAGCAGAGTATACATTTGGTAATCATTGAAAAATAATTTACTAAGTTTTTAGTATCTATCAGGTACCAATGCACTATCAGTTGCTTTACAATTAATGCCATATTTAATAATCAGTAATATCATGATGTCATTTGGTACTTTGGGATCCTCAGGAAAGAAATGCCTTGTGAAATGCTAAGGTGTGGAAGTGTTCACAGAAGGTTTCCGAAAGAGATATTCCTAGAGCTGAGTTGTAAATAGTGAGTAGAATTAAACAGAAAAAAGCAAAAATGGACTTCCAAGGGGGGAAAAAAACAATACAAAAAATTGTAAAGAGACTTGGAGATTTGGGAGAATATAGCAATTTGTGAACAGAAACCATGGTTATAGCTTAGAGGTCTTATATGCCATGCTTGTATATTATACTAACAGTGATGATGAGGCTGGGATTCTTTAAAAGGGGCAATGATTTGGTTATATTTGTATTTTGGAAAGCTCTCCCTGGAATACAGATCTATCTGTCTTCTTAAACGGTTGAATATGTAGGAACCAAAGAATGCAACTCTGAGGCAGAGAATTATTGTCACATTTCTCTATGGCATGTCTACTTTTCTAGGTTACATTTATTTTGTATATCAAGAAACAGCACAAAATGAGGCCATTAGACTCAGAGGTCTCCAAGGAACACTTTTAAAATACTTTACATGGCTACGTGCCTTCTAAGGAACAGATGCTGACTTACTTATTTACTTAGTATTTATTTAATTTAATTTAGGTCTACTTTACATATAGTAAAATGTTCAAATATAAAGTGTGTAGTTTATTTCTCTATGCATACATTGAAGGTGACACCAGGAAAGTTATGTAATGCTTTGCTCTTGGAAGAAGTGATGAATAGATGAATTAATTAAAATTATATTTAACTGATCTAGTTATCACCTCCCATGTATAAGTTCATGTACTGAGTTATGTGGAAAATAGTCCAGGAGCTCTGCAAATGGAAATGGTCTAGCATCTCCACTGTGAGTAACCATGTTCCTTTCATTGAACCTGCCCATGACACTCAGCACTTTTAAGCTTCAACTGAGTTGATTGAGTTACGTGAGAGAGCAAGCTTGCCAATTAGGCATTTGAAGCTGGAAAGTACTAAGTATCATGAACACATGCAATGAAAAGTAGAAGATTGTCAAAATCACTTTGGGAAGCAATGGGTATTTGAATTGTACCGTTAGGAATTAGCTACATTTACATAATTAGAACACCAGGGAAATACCATAATTCTAGGCACAGAAAACAATGATCTGTTTTAGTTCTCTGTGTCTCAGAGAATCAAGATCTTGATGTCAAAGCAAACTCTTCCCCAAGGATTCTGAATATTAACCCAAGACTTCCTAATGGATAGAATTGTACCTTGTGAAAAGAGGCTGCAAAAAGATTCAGGCAGATACATATATGTACATGTGTGTGTGTGTACACACATACATATATCTCCACAAATCTTTAAAGATACCAGAGATTTTTACATAATTTACAACTGAAGTTATTATTATTAAACAGATATAGCTTGATAAGCATTAACACCATTCATGGTGTTTGTTTTGAAAATTCCAGCCACAAACATTGTTCACAAGCTAATCTTCTATCAGTGTCTGACAACTTTTTGTCAGTCATAAAAATGATGATGATGATGATGATGACCCCTGAGTGAAATTGTCATATCCTTTTTCTATCCTACAGCCTTGGAAAGGAAGCCTTAAGAACACTCTTATTTTAATCTGTGATTATAAATTCTTGGCATTGTTTTGTCTTTTATATCTGGAAGTTTAGAATTCCCACCCCTCTTAATAGTCCGCTTTTGTTATTACTACTAGTAAATCTGATATGGAGTACTCTATTAGTGAAAAAAAGTGTCAATTTGTGAGAAAATACTTATATGTTTAAATTGATAAGTTATTTCTGTTGTTTTCAAAGGAGATAAAAATATCACTGAATATTTTCAGCTTTTACTTTTTTATAGAGTGAATAACCTTGACAACAAAACAATTTTTAATAAACTCTATGTTCTAGCAATATTGTAGACGTTATTTTATAAACTATTCTAGTACAAGACATTCTGGTCAATAACACTGAAATTCAACAAACATACCTTCATTTGCTATCTCAAATATATTTTTCAAATATTTCTAGACATGTTCTATTTATTAGAGAATATTGGCTCCTTTTTTTCCATATCTTCCTTGCTAGAACTTTTGATAATTTCCTTTTGCTGATCTAGTATCCTCAGCTCCAAAGCCCAAACATATTGTATCAGAGGAGATACACTGTAAGTGAAGTTCAATCAGGGAAATACAATCTTATTTTAGTCTTGTTCCTTCATATCTGGTACTTGATGGTATCACATCATTTGGACGTAATTTTTGTGACTCAATTTTTCTTCTACCTCAGATATCTTACCTGGCACTACACTTCCTTGAACGTGGCCCACAGTGTTCATGGTGTTAATCTTGAAATCATAGAATGTCCCCTTCCTTGAGGATCATTTGCTTTTCCATACTCCCCACATGTAGAAGAATTAGTTACCTAGGTACTCTTCCTGTCACCATTAATCAGTTTCACTTCTTCCTTGTGGCTATTAATTTCTTAGCTCTAGTTATTCTTGCCCCCCTGTGCTCCTGATTAGTGCTACATGACTTTGCAATCTCTTTCACTAGAGGGCTCATTCACATATTAATATAATGTTTTGAGTGAACCGAAAATCCCTGAATCTCCTTCCAACAAGAGATGAGGACTAATTCTTTTCCCCAGGAATCTCAGCTGCCTTAGTGATTAGCTTGGAGCTAACAGAATGCCACAGAAGACATGCTAGTTAGGCCAGATCAGTAGAAATCATGCAGCTCCTCCCTAGTTTACTGAAACACTTGTTTGAAGAGCCTTGAGTCACCATATTAGGAATTCAACTACCTGAGATTGGCAAGGCCATGTTTAGGCACTCTGTCCAACAGTGCCAGCTGAATATGTCCTATAGCCATCCCAACCCAGACCAAGCACAGGAGTAAATAGGTTATCTTGCAAGAGAATGCCCCAGCCAACTATTCAAGTCATTTGAATCATCTCAAGTGAGGAGCAGACATCATAAAGAAGAGATATCTATACATGCTCTTTCCAAATGCCTACCCAACAGTATCTGAGAGGGCAATAAAAGAGTTGTGTCATACCACTGAATTTTGTTACTTGTTTCACAGCAATAAATAACTAGAAAACCATATGACTGCTTTGGCTAATTGGATATGGGTGGAAATGATTGTATGCCATGTGTAAGCCTAGACCTCAAGAGATTTTATTTGTGTCATTTTATTTTTCTTGTGCTACTGCCCTTACTGGCATAAGCACATGCTCTGGCTAGTCTGATATTACACGGAAGATCTAAAATATCCAACCATCAGGCAGTGAGAAGTCAGGCCCATCTGACTCACAGCTTGAAGCACAGATGCCCAATCAAGCCCAGATTAGATCAGTAAACCACAATTCAACCTACAAACTCAGGATAGTGAGCCTAAATAATTACTGTTCTGAGCTACCCAGTTTGAGGGTAGTTAATTACATAGCAAAAACAGACCCAGAAAACCGAAAAATTCTTGATGTCACTAAACACAATTGTCGGATTGCCTGTCATCACATGGTTATGTTGGCCAGGAACAAAATCAGTTTCCAATGTCCCTTTCCATTTTGTACTTGGAATTTTTGGAGATTTCCATCTCAGGGACCAAACCTGGGCTATCTGACATGTTGCATGTGCTATTGTCCTAAAAAATATTTCCTAAACTGAAGTTGTGAAATAGAACCCAGGTCTATGGAGTATTGATTCGGGTCACCAGCATCATCACTAAAGGAAAGAATATTTTTTCATATCTTCCACTGTGATACTATTAGTCTCCTTCATACTCTTAACCTTAAGACAGTTTTTTTCAATGATTTCTCAGAGTCTTCAAGCATATTTTTATATAATGCAT